ATAAAAATTCGTTGAAAAAAAAAAAAGTTAAAGAAATAATTATACAATAAGCAAAGATTGGGAAACTTAACTGCAATTGAAATATAGTGTATCAAATAAAAATTGTGGTGACAATATAGTTGCCATTTTGCACCAAATTTGATGTAATTCATTATTTCCATTTTGTCCTCCATTTTCTATTACAATAAATTATGGCTCTTTTTTTTTTTTTTCCTTTTGAAATTAATTGATTTGAATTTATTTATAATTGTTTATACGTGACGGTTATTTTTATTTACATTTATTTTTATATTCTAATGATCATGGTAACATTTACAACAAATTCTGTTTAATGTTTTCTTCTTAATTTATTAATAAATGCAATATTTTAGTTTATTAAATATTATTTTTAATTTAACAATTAATATAATTGTAATTAAATAATTTATAATAGATTAATTATTGAAAAATAAATAATAAGGAAATAAAGAAAATACTATTCATTTGGTGTAAGTGCCATTGGAGAGGTTACACCAAATTGGTGTGAAAATTATTCCAAATTTGGTATAACCCCTCGACATGGTCAAAAGATAATTAATAAAAAAATAAATTCTTATTGATATGTTTGCGAATTATACGTTCACTAAAATGAAAAAAAACTAAAAACAAATAATTAAGTTGAGTTGACCTAATTACTCTTCATGGGTTGTCGAACTAAAAAAATTCCAATCTAACAAGAGCCACATTATGGTGTGTCAATATCAGCACCAACCAAGTTGAGATGAAATTGGTGAATTTTTAAGGTATAATTGCAACAGCAATCTTAATTCTTACTTTACTCAAATATCTCATTTGTACTATACACAGTCCCAAATCTCTCATTATGTTGCAATAGAAAGACAAATAGAAGGATTTCATCCATTTGACAGTTACTTAACTAAAAAACTTGGTTTTGATCAAATATAATAATGGCAAAATGATAACTTTATAATTCAAATATAAAAATAAAAAAATTCATCTCCTTCCCAATCACCCCACCTTACCTTATCTTCCTCAAACTAAATCAAATCAAATTAACCAACCACCATACCCTACAATATACTACAACGATCACCATTCATCGTCGCCTAAAGAGTTTTGATGGCAAACTCTATTCCAATGGATGATTTGGACTCCAAATAAAACTCATTTTTGGTAAACATAGAAACAATGTTAGATTTCCCAACTCCCTGTAGGGAATTTACTTAATCATACACAGGGGAAATAAAACAATTTTCAATTCTCAAACGAGGATCTGCAATGTGTTTAGATAGAAACTGTGATGAGAATGATACCTTTGATGAATTCCACAAACTCTTTTGCTTTTTCTTGAACTCCAATGATCACGATCTGCAATCCAAGCTGTCCAATTGTCCAGCCTCCAATG